AGAGAATATGAGTCATTGGTGTGATCCACCACTATCTATAGAAGAACCTGCATGTTAATAAGATCCCTGGGGGATTTGAGTGCACATGCAATTTTAAGAACTAGTTTTAAAGAAAGACTGTAGAAACCAGGGAGCCATGGGTGGTATGTAAAGGAAAGGCAGAGGATCTTCATGGGACCCCCAGGTTTCTAGCTGGGGTGAGTAGAGGTGGTGATGCCATTCCTGGAAAACTAAGGTGTGGGAAGGGCCACCATGGCTGTGACTCTGAATGTGCTGTCTGGGAGGCATGAGGTTCACACTCCCTTGTCTCAGTTTAGGAGAGAAGTCAAAGCCAGAGCAACAGATTCAGAGGAGTAGGTGCTGGGTGAGTGAATGTTAAGGCCAGTTTCCACAGGGAGAAGGAGCCCAGGGCCTGGTGCCTATGAGGCAGGTCCCCGACTCTTGGTGGCCCTGTCTGCTGAGGACAGGAGAGGGCCTGGGCCCAGAAGAAGAACCAATTGAAAAGCTCTGACAGGAGGTAGAGGGAGAGAGCAGAAGCCATGGACGTTCTACTTGGTGGGCCTCATTTCTTCTGTGACATGGAAGACAAGGCCATTGTAGAGAGTGACAGAGGAGAGAGGAGAGGCTGGGTGTGAGGGTTGAAGCTGCAGATAGTAGAGAAGAAAGCAGCATGACCCACAGGCTCTAAGAGCCCAGCCCAGGCTAAATGAATAAATGAATTTTATTCCAGAATTTCAAAGACATAAAACAAATGCAAAACATCTCATTTTTCTATTTTGTCTGAACACCTTCCTTGGGAGGGAGTTTTTGGTTCTCACAAGACTGCATGGTGAGGCTGAGCAGAGGAGGCCCAGCCCTGCCTGGTCACTGGCTTCCTGTCTCGCCACAGGGTGGCTCCCTCCATGATGCCATCTGCTTTGCTGTTACCTGTCCAGCGGCTGAACTGAGGGAGCCTCTTGATTCTGGACTTTCTGCCTCCAAGATTATGAGGTAAACTTTTCTCTTTTCATTGTAAGTACTGAGCTTCAGTTATTTTTTAACAACAACAGAAAACAGACTGATACAAGTCCCAAAGCAAGTACCACACAGCCTCATCCCTCAGGGGCTCAGGGCAAATAGGCCCTTGCTGGCCGTTCCTTTCCTAAAGGGAATTAGGGTGTAGGCATCAAACAGGAGACACTGTCCAGGCCCAACCTCAATGTAGGGTGTCAGTGCTGACACAGCAGTAAAGGACAGACTGTAGAGGCTGTTTTAGTTCTCATCCTAGGTCCTCTGACTCCCTAGCCCTTGATCTCAAACATATTATTCTTTCTCTCCATACCTCAGTTTCCCCATTTGTAAAATGGTGATGGTAATGGGGTTGTTTTTAGGGTTAAATATGCTTAGAAGAATGCTCGGCACATCCAGTGTGTTTAGCTATTTATATAATTTAGTTGAAGAGGCAGTATTTATCTTGGGAAGCTTTATTAACTATTAATAATGTTTCCTTTAAAAGCACAAATCACTCCAGTTGCATAAACCACATACTTACAGAATGAGGTTGGGGGACCAGTTGGAAATCTTAGGGAAGAAAGCAAAAAATATAAAAATGGATCCCTTTTCTTTGTTAAACACTTGAAATGCAGAGTTGGCTTCAGAGAAAAGCATCCCCTTGGGGAGGAAAACAGGAGGGGCTTCGAGGGCTGTTTCCCTGTGTGTCTGAGGAGCGTTGTGGGCACACACAGGACATAGTGGCCCCTGAGGCATGGTGGGAACAGCCTAAGAGTGAGTGTTTTCACTGGCTGCCAGCCCGACACCTGTGGGCAGATGCAGTGCAGTGGAGGTGGCAGCTCTTGGGTGACCACAGGTTCTACCTCCCCTTCATGCTGTATGGGTCTGGAGTCTGCATTTTGGAGGAAGTGGCAGGACCACTGGTTACTTGCCTGGGGATGCCATTTATGTGTCTGCCTTGGGCCATCCATCACTACTGTTTAACAGGAGCTGGGTCTGGCCCCACAGGCCCCCGGGCTTCTTGTAGGCCACCTTGGGTCTGAAGTCCCACTGTGTCTCGAGGGAGTGTGATCTTTCAGATGTCCCTTCAACACAGCCTGAGCCTTCTCGAGTGGAAAACAGGGAAGGTTATCTGTTGTTGTAAGATGTTTGGGCAATGCCCAGCACTCCCTGGGCACAGCGCTCACCACTGTGAAGGGTGTTTGGCTCCCAGTATTGTTATGCTCACCTTGGAACAGGGGGCTCCTTCCATGGCTCGAGTGCTGGCCCAGCCTATTTCTCCCTTCTGAGGTACAAATATCAGCCTGCTGGGGCCAGTAACTTCTGCCAGGCCTGACTGCTTCCTCTTAGATAATAAGATCCAGGCTCTACCTTAAGAGCACCCCGGCATCCCCTGCACCTTCATCCTGCCCTGCTGGAGTTTTGAGAACCCAGGGCCACCACAGTTAGTGGTAACTTGAGATGCAGCTGAGGTACAGCCTCTGTTCCTTAATGATGTTTCCCTTTGAACCCCAAAAGGCTGCTAGAAGGATTGAGATATAAAAGTCAGTATCCTGGAGCTGAGAGGGGCCTTGGGCACCAGAGAGTCCAACCCTTTACTCCCCACATGAAGAAACTCAAGCTCGGGGCCGGGGATTTAGCTCAATGGTTCTGCCCAGCCTGCCTCAAAAGCACAAGGTCCTGAGTTCAATCTCCAGTACCAAAAAAAGAAACTCAAGCTCAGTCCAGTCCTCTGTTTCACTAGGGTGTTTTCCATGCACTTTCTCCCTGGTTCTCCAGACACGCCTTCAAAGGAGCTATGACCATCATCCTTGTTTACGATGAGGAAATCAAATGGTTTAGTGCAGGAAGGTCATGAAAGTAGGGTCATGAAGAGTCCTCAAATTCCAGCTCTCCTATTTCCCACCTGTGTGCCCTCAAGCAAGGAACTAGATCTCTTTGTGCCTCATTCCCCTCTCTGTACAAGGACAATGCTCAGTGCAATGAGAGTGCCCTGGTTCTTAGTCCTTAAGCCTACCGAGGAGTGCTGCTTCCTTCCACAGGCATGGACCCCCACATTGCGGTTAGTGAGCCCCTGGGTGCCAGGCACTGTCCCTTTCTGTATGGAGCTCGAGGTTTGGGAAGGGGAAGCATCTGCCCAATGGATCCCACTAATGTGTAGCTGTGGGCCTGGCAAGCAGAACAAAGGAACCATGTGGCACCATCATGAGAGGCAGAATCCACCGTGGCCTTGGGGTCTAGTGAGCCCACTGGAGCCACCAGACCAGGGGAGGGAGGAAGCAACAGGACTGGGCAGTCAAGGTGGCAGGTGGCAGGGAGGCACTGACACCCAGGGCAGAGCTGGGGAGAAGCTGGGCCCACACAGGCCATTCGACAGATTTCACTCTTTATCCTTAGAGCAAAGTGAAGGACTCAAAGCTGGGCAGTGACAGCATTCAGCCGTGTTTTGAAGAGTATCATGCTGCAGGGTCTGGTATACACTGGTGGGAGGTAAGAGGGGACGTGGGCACAGCTCTGAGGAGATGGAGGGGTATGGGGCTGGTGGGCCTGGCAGCCACTGATGCTCTGGGCTGAAGGAGAGACAAGTGCCTGAGGGCAGGCTGGTCCCCAGGGGTCGGGGTAGACTGGCCAGCCTGGGAAGACCACCCGCTCCCATGGCTGCTGGCAAGGGGCTTCCTATGAATTGAAATGTGCTGTATAAAATGGACTGAAGACCTAGTAAGAGAATGCAAAAATACCTCGTTAATAATCTCATATCCATTATATATTGAAATGTTTCCGGTATTGAATTAAAATACATTGTTAAAATTGATTTTACCAGTTTCTTTAAAATTTTAGAATTTTTTATTTAAATTGTAATGGCTACTTGAAACTTTCCATTCTGTGGAAGACTGTTCTTCTTGGTACCCACTGTGCCCAAATGAGAAGAGAGGGCCTAGGACCCAGGTCTGGGCTGGCGAACCCCAGCCAAGCGGACCTAGGCCAGCACAACTGTGGGCAGTCCTGGCCTGGAGGGAAGGCCCTGGAGGGCCCACCAGGAGGCCCCGGGGGACAGTGTTGGAGCGACCAGGCTGCTCCCGCGGTCTGCAGTGTGTGTGGCGTGTGCGTCTTTCCCTGAGGGCACAGTGGTTGCAATCGCTTGTGTCTACACCATACCCGGGGTGGGGAGGCCGATTCTCTCTTAATACTGTAAGTTTTCCCAGGTCGTAATTGTTGTTTTTCACAATTTTCTCCTTAGCATATGAGAGAGCTGCGCGGGGTGGGAAGGAGTCCTCTGGAGCCGCGCCAGACAGAAAAGTGCCGACCCCAAGTCCGGGCCGCGGTTTCCCCTGACAGGTGGCGGCGATGGGAGGCCGCAGGGAGGGGTGGGGGGCGGAGGGGCGGCGGTGCTCAGCGCAGGGAACTGACTGCACTCGTCAGGGGACGCCAGGGAAGCGGCCCCGGTGTCAGACCGACTTGTACCGGGACTAGGGACAAGCGGACGAGAAGGCCGGCACTCAGAGGCTCAGCCCGAGTTCCTGACGCCCTGGCTCGGCCGTCCGTCCCGCGACGTCGTCTCTCCCGCGGCAGAGTCCGGCGCGGCGTCCGCTTGGCCTTGGCTCGGATGGCGCGGCCGCTTTGTCCCCGCGGTCCGGGCTCAGCACGCACCAGCGGAGGCACTGCGCGTGCCCAGCCGCGTCCTGCCGGCTGAGGCCCCGGGCAGCGAGCTCCCCTCGCGCCCTCCTGGGCTAACTGCTGGAGTCCGGCCCTCCCGGCCCGCACCCGCCACCCACCGCCCGCCGCCCGCCGCAAGCCGCCCGCCGCAAGCCGCAGTACCAGCCGCCTCCGCCCCCACCGTGCCCCGCGCCGCCGCAGGAGCAGAGGGAGGAGCGCGGGGGGAGAACGAGCCGAGCCCAGAGCCAGTCCTGGGCGCCAAAGGAGCGCGGGCCGCGGCGGGAGCGCATCCGGGCTCCGGGCCCCGCGCCCCGCTCCCCGCGCCCCCGGCGGGCGGAGCCGAGCGGAGCCGAGAGGAGCCGAGCGCCCTGAGCGCAGAGCGGCGGCGCGGCGTGGACCGGTCCTCCTCGGCAGGGGTCGCGCCCGGTGGTAAGGGCCGGGAGGCGGGTCCGGCGGCGACCAGCCATGGCTCAGGCGGCCAAGCAGCTGAAGAAAATCAAAGACATCGAAGCGCAGGCCCTGCAGGAGCAGAAGGAGAAGGAGGAGTCCAATAAGAAGCGCAGAAACCGCTCCCGCGACCGCAAGAAGAAGGTGAGGGAGCGCGGGGCGTGGGGCGCGGGCGAGACCTTCAGCACCCCGGACAGCGCTCGCGGGACAACTTTGCGGCCCGGCTCCTTCCCAACCCGTTCTTCCTGCGCCCACAGCCTCTGCCAGGTCGCTCTGCCCCGCGGGGCTCCCACTCTTCCCGGACTCTGCTCCAGGCCCCCGGCACCCGTCCGGAGCCCCGCGCACTGGGCAGCATCTGGTGTAGGGCCGCACAGGGTTGCGGGACAGCAGGAAGAAGTCCCTCGGGGAGCCAGGCCTCGCTGTCCAGCTTGGCCCGAAGGCCTGGCCAGAGAACTGCTCCGCACTGGGAAGCCGGGCATCAGGGGCTTTCCTGGGAAGGGCACAAGTTGTGCCCACAGTGACCTCGACCCTAACCGGGTGCTGTTTTTCTCCCTTCCTTTCTCGTCTGGGCCTTCTTGCACCCAGTCAGGGCATTTGCCCCTCAGTCAGGCGTTGAGTTACAAACGGCTCTGTGGAAGGAGAGGGACAGAGGGGAGTGAAGCAGAGGAGACCTGCAGGCCCCCAGAGCCACCGCCTACGGTAGGATTCGGGGAGTCCAGATGGAAGCTGGACCCAGCTTCAGAGGGGCCTTTGGACCTGAAGAAGTTGGTGTGAGGTTGGTCTGCAGGCTCTAGCCAGCGAAGGGCCCCGGGCTCCAAGACAGAGGTACTGGCCTTAGTTGAGGGGAAACATTTTCCCCCTGAAATCGGCTCATTCCAAGAAAGACACATAGAGCCTGTGGCTGACAACGATGTGGGGGCACAGGCTGTCTCTGGTCCCAAACTTCTTACCAAGAGGTCAGTGGGGACTGGCCTTAGGCCTTTCCCTGGAGATGAGGCCCCAGGGAAGAGTTTTCTGAGTTTAACAGAATTGAGCAACACTTCAGGCTCTCCTATGCCCTTCCAAAAGCCAGCAAGTCCTCGCCTTTCAGAGACTGCCATCCTGTGTGTAAAAGCAGTCTCACCATGGTGCCTCTCCTTTAGGGTACTGAAAAGAGGCCTTCCCCAAACTAACGGTGAGTCAGAGTTTGGGTTGGTGACACTTACAAAGAGAATCCCATCAGATCCCCTTGCTAGAGTCGGAAACACCAAGGCCCATCCTGTGAGTCAGGCAGGGAAGTCTGGTTGTGTGTGATGGGCGCTCACCCAGTTTCTTGGCAGTAGTGTGAACTTCTCGTTAGGAAGCAGTGCTCTGTGTTTCCATTCCTGCCTCTTGCTTTGGAGCCAAGGCAGTCTGCTCCAAAACTGCTTGTTCAATGTTTTTATCCCACTTCTTGCTCTCGAGCTTCCTCTTTGATGCTCCTGATACCATAGATAATTTTTTGAGCAATAGTTAAAACAAAACTCTCCCTTCTTCTCTTCTTGATTTCCTTTCTGGTGTATGAAACTCTCCATAATATAACTCTGAATTCTGACTGCATGTAATGTACACATAGAAAGGTAAAATTCCAATATTCTTTTTATTCCCTTGGTCTTAATCTTTATATTCTTGGTAAACTTTATTTCCATCTTTAAATGCTCGATGGTAATGTATTCCCTTCCCCCTGAATTGTGTTGCATTGCATTACTAGCTGGTCACAGCATACTGCGTCAGTAAGCAGGCAGAAATCTCCTGTACACATTCTCAGTATTTCATGCAGTATCCTGAGTGCTATGATTGACACAACAATAAAGAAATATTAATCCAAAGTGATAACAATGGCCTGAACCCTTAGGACTGATTCTCTGAATATGTGGGGAAATGCCATGGGATATAGGGATGCTTCATTTGTATTTCATAATGACTGTAAATTCTCTAAGCTATTGTGATGGTCTTGATAGCCATATCAGGGAATAGAGTTAATGTTTATAGCAAAATATAAAGTCACAAAGGTAGAAAGTCCTAGAGGGAAAGGTGAAGGAGGCAGGACAGTGCAGAGAGAGGCATTTTATATATTTATTTCATTTCTTTCTCTTTTGTGTGTGGTGCTTGGAATTGAACTCAGGGCCTCATGCATGCTAAGCAAGTGCTGTACCACGGAGCTACACCCCTAGCCCCAAAGGGGCATTTAGAGAAAGTTCATGTAGGGACCGCTTAAGCAGAGGCTCAGGCACTAGCTTGAAGGTTCATATAAGGTGAATTCTAACTAAGATGCATTTTTCACCTGTGAAGTAATTTTTCAAGGCAAGGTATATTAAGATCAAGCAGCTGAGGACTTTACAGTTGATCCCGCAGACAACAGGGAGGCTGTGGAACCATCCTCCTTTTCTTTTATCAGCATGAAGAAAGAACTTCCCACATGCAAATGAACATTTTAATTCCAATGATCTGACAGTTCACAGGAACTATACTGATAGCAGAGCCAAGAGTGTTCTGAATTTACTAGAAGGAAGGGTATCTGTCTGGTGGGTAACCGGCTTAACTGGGGCTGACTGAGCAGAGCTGCACCCCCGTTTGTGGAGATGATTGTGTTGTGACTTCAGTGGTGGCTGCAGTTTTTACGCTTGATGGTGCTGTGTGGGAAGGCGCCTGCTGAGGGGTGCTATGCATGGGGGTGGAGGAGGCTGATGTTGTGACGCACTGCCTGACACAGATAGAAGCCACCTTGACACCAGGAGCTGAGCTGGCACTCCGGGGCTCCTGAGGTGCCTCCCTTCCTAGGGGCTTCATTCAGCTTCTGCCTGCAGTATGCATCCTCCTCAGAAGCTTGCCGATCGTCACTGCAGTGTGCTGTTTTTTTGTCTTAATAAAATCCAGCATTTATGACATTTACTGATGAGTCCTCCTGCTTTTGCAGGTTACAATAGAAAGAAATAAATCACAAAATATGCTTTAAGCAGGCATTTGCATTAAGAACGACAGCTTTCTAGTGCTGAGGAAGCCTTAACCATAAGAATATGTGTGCTTTTTATGTTTGCCCAGAGCTCCTGGCTAAGAGAAGAGGTCAGAGAGGTTGGAGAGAAAGTGAGACAGGGAAGGATGAGGGGCCAAACTGGAGGGCAGAGCAATGGGTAAAGGGCTAGGAAAGACAGAGAGGCAGAGAAGGGCACAGATTACACTCTGTCTGCTACCTCAGCAGCTGTACTTGGATAGCCTTCACTGACTTCTCCTTGTCCCTCATCTGTTCACCTGCTTTATCCTGTGATGTTGATGAAGGAAAAGATGGCATCACATTCCCACTGAGTCCCCAACACCTCTCCTGGCATGGGAGGGGATGGGTGGAAGTTAGTGGAATGAATGGCTGAATGAATGAACTAGTTAATGTTTGTGCTTGCCTAGGCATTCTCTTGGCTACAGGCAGGTGTCCAGGTGAACAACATGCTCATTATTGTCTTCTGGGGGACATCTGAAAGAAACCTGATATTCCTTTCCTTTGTAACCACTTGCAAAGCAGAAGTGATTTGTAGGCAAGCAGTGGAACTACTTAATCTTCTGCTGCAGTGAATTCGACCACTGAGCATGGAGTTAGTTCCTTGCAGGGTCCCCGCTGCACCACGTGTCAGGTGCTGCAGCCTTTTGGAGCAACAGTGGTGTTTGCTCAGGGCCCCCAGGAACCAAGAGTGGAAAGAAGGGGTGGAGGAAAAGTGCAGGAAGCAAAAAGGAAGAAAGCCCAGGAGTGGAACATGGCTTCTGCTGCTCTGCTGAGCAGCCAGCCCTGGCAGTGTTTCTAGTCTGTGTAGTGCAGTGAGGAGCCCTCAGCCTCCTCTTTTCACCAAGGAGGCCCTGCTTCTGGACTCTGGAGACATCTTCACTGGATCCAGTGATTGGAACTGCAGAGAAGATTGGGAGGAATCTGCCTGGGGTGAGGGTCACCGTGGAGGTTTTGTGGGTCAAAGGATGGTATGGGAGCTTGTAATGGAGCAGGAAGGAGGGTAGGAAGCTAAGCAGGAGTCATGTTGGTTATGACTCCCATTAGCGGAAGGTCTCAAAGTCAAACTTCTCTTATCTCCAAGGGAGCTCATACATTTGATTCAAGAGCCAACCGACAGGATGGAAAGAGAATGATACTCATTACATGATTAAGTAACTGTACCAGGACAATTGCTGAGCCATTTCTCTACTCTATGTTTCAGTATGAATTGATATTTGTAGATAAAGCTTTTGGCTTTTGAATTGCATAATCACATTGTGCTGTGCGTGAATTATTAAGGGCACTAATTTATTACAAGCCTCTAAAACAGTTATGGTGCATCTTTTAGAGCTTTCAGTGATAACAGCTGGATGTGGCACATGTGCCATAGGTTCACCACCACTGCTCTAAAACATACCAAAGCTTTGGTAGCCTGCCTTTGGCATTTCTTCCTATGTTAGTGCACAGGGAGCTTCAAATGCATGGAAGAATGCATGGAAGTGGTCTTGTCTTGTGAGTTCCGAGAGGCGCTGAGCGAGTGAGACTTTCCCAGCTGCTTCCTGTCTGTTTGCTATCCCAGGTCCTCCATCCCTGCTGCAGAAGTCATGGGGAAGGGGGGGCTGCTCCCTGGTGCTCCTGTCCCTTCCCAGCTGTGAACAAATCTGGCCTGTGGGCAGGGAGGATGTCACACATCAGTGCATCCAGCGCTCTATAACTTGCTTTTCATTTGCTCCTCACAGATGCCCTTGGCTGGAATTCCGAGGCTGGAGGGCATGACCTTCTTGGGAGGGGAAGCCCGAACCAGGCCTCTGATTGTCCTGCTCCCAGCACCACAGGTTGCTTGCTCACCAATTCTGCTTTTGTCCTCTCAGTGTGACAAGGCTTTTTACTTTATTTCTTTTAAGTAATATCTAATAATTATACATACTAGAGATCATAGTTAATAACATAAAGATTGCTATAGTTCAGATCTGAAATGTTCCCTGAAGACCCATGTGTTAGAAACTTGGTCCCCAAACTGTGACCCACCTCATAGTGGTGGAACCTTCAATAAGCAGGACCTAGTAGATGGTCTTTAGGTCAGCAGGGAATGTCTTGAGGGGACTTGGGGTTCTGCCCCCTGCTTTTTGTCTCTTTAGCTTCCCAGCCATGAGGT